TAGTCTGGCCAATAAGCATTCAATTGCACTTTCGCTGTACTGTTTTAGTATACGGATTCCCATAGTCCGGCCTTGATACCAAGATAATTCCACAACTTCCTTCTGTGTTCTTCTTTATCTCCGCCTCCGCCTTCGCCTCTAACAAACTTGTAGTCAAAGCCTGGGCCCGCCGTTGACAGATGGGCGCTGAGGGAACTGCCCTTGCCGCGGACAACCGGGCTCTATGGGTGAGCCTCAACGCTGGTGCTAACCACACCTCGAACTACAAGCGTCTTTTTGCGTGGATCTGTAACCTGGACCTCAAAGGGGTCACTAACGTGGCGACTTTGGCAATGCAGTTCCATGCTGTAGTGTTTGAGACTGCTGCGCAGTGCGACCAAGCCCTGACAATTGTCCAACGTGCTCAGTACAAGGATAAAGATGGGAATGAAAAAAAGGTGCAGGTCAAGAAGTTTGCCGTGCCGGAGAAGAAGAAAGAGACTAAGAACACCTTGATCCTTCAGGGGGCATTCTTGACAAGGCAGAGGATGTGAAGTTGGCCATCATTGAGCGTTTTATCAGCAGACGGTTGGCGGTACCTGAGTTTTCAGTAAAGGCAATTAAAAGAGGGGATGTACTGGTGGGGCAATTTTACGTTCAGTTTGAGGCTGATACCACGATGGGCAAAAAGGGCACGTTAAAGGTGGGAGCGGAGCGGAACGGGCGGACCTGGACCTGGGAGGCACGCAAATGTGCTCTTTGTGGGGCTTCGGCCCATCGAGCCAAGGAATGCCAAGGTGAAGCTCCATTAAAGCTCACACCTGCCCTCACGATGCAGAAGGGGCTTCCCGCGCCCACTAAGGCCGAGGAGCCACCTTCTGCTCAGCCTAAGGGGAAGTAGGGATTTGTAAATAGCTAATGAACTCATGCTAGCTGCATGAAGGAGAAGGGTTTTTCACCAGATGCAAAATGTTCTTGTTAAAGTTGAGGCCTAGCCTCTGATCTATTAGGGATCAGGAGAATGAAAAGCGGAGGGTATGGAGGGTTTTCTTTTGTCATAAATACAAGCTCTGGTTTTTCCTTATCACATAACAAATTTTCCAAACTAAAACGTGATGTGTAAATGTAGAAGGTAAAACAAAACAGGAATCGTAGAAGGCAAGGTAAAGGAGTAGAACCTAACCAAGAAAAGGTATGCTAAGTAAAATTATAACGTGAAATGTATTACTAACTAACCAAAACAGATGAGGCTTCCGGCTTTCAACGTGAAAGGTCTGGGGGATAAGGAGAAATCCACTAACTTAGTGAATTACCTGAAGGATAAAAAAGTAGACTTGGCACTATTGACCGAGTCCCACTTAACGGAAGCAAGAGCGAAAGGGCTAAGGCAGATATATCCATCCTTGGGTATAATCTCAAATGCACCTAGCTCAAACAGTGTTGGGGTTACTTGGATAAACTTATCGCCGCACAAGATACCTCTGGAAAAACTTGAAGTAATACTTCAGGATACTGAGGGAAGGGCATTAGGGATCAAGTGCTACATAGAGGGATCACAGAAAGCTATCACATTGCTGGGAATATACGCACCTAATGGAGAGACTGCCAAAGTGAGATCTTTCAAGGAAGCGGCAAGCTGGGCAGGAGCAAGCAATCCAGCACAAGCCTTTGACATAGTGCTGGGCAATTGGAATGCAGTACTAGAACCTGAAGACCGAAACCCGCACAGAAGTGAAGATCCAAGGGTAACCAAAGCCCTGCTAGAAGTAATGGAACCAGGTCTATTAATCGATGGCTGGCGAGAAGCCCACCCTAAAACAATGGAGTATACATACACCACATCAGGAAATGCAAAAGCCTCTAGCCAAATAGACAGGATACTATGCAAGGCACATATCTATAAACAAACCGAACAATGGAAAATAGAGCAGACACCCGGATAGACAGACCACAATGCAGTAACCATGCAATACTGCCCTCATATTCAAGTCACAATAGGGATGGGTCAATGGTTCATGAATACCAACCTACTGAGAGGAGAAGAGATGCAGGACACCCTAAAACCAGAAGTTGAGGCACTGATAAAACGAGTGATGACATATGCAAAACCAATTTATAATGGTGAAGAAAAAAGCTATGCAATCACAAATCCGCAAGGCGTAACTCAGGAACGGAAGAAGGACTGCAGAACATACGAACACAAGCTCAAAGATACAAAGAACGCAAAACCAAGCTAGAGAAAGAGAACAAAGACAAATGGAAGCCAGAATAAGAAGCCTTGAGGCCCTTAGAAGAACAAAAAAGACAGCTACGAAACTAACTGATGCCAAAGCCAGACTGAACGCTTACTGGGAAACTAGAGAACGTAGACAAGCTATAGCAGGTAAAATCAAACGGATCACACTCAAGATGAACACAAATGCCTTCTAGCAATTAGGACAAGCCCCTCGCAAAAAAACATCATATATGGCTTAAAACATGGAAGTGAAGTGACTAAATCAACCAAACATATGATAGAATGTGCAGCTCAGTTCTATGAGTCTTTCTTTGCTGAAAAAAGACACTCACATAAAATCCCAAGAAAGGCCACTTGGAACACTACCGAAAGGGGAGTTCTCTACCATGATAGAAACAGTGAAGATTTCTGAAATCATCAACCTAAGTACAAGATGGAAGAATGGCAAAACACCAGGCCCAGATGGTATACCGTATGAATTCTACAAAATATTCATGGAAATGGATGCTGGAATAGAGGGCTATACACTGATAGATGCACTAACAGTTGTCATGACTACGTTACTAGAAAAGCACAAATACCAAACCAACATGCCACATTCATGGAAGCAAGGCGTACTCAAAATCATGTATAAAAAGGGGGACATCACAGACCTTAAGAACTATAGGCCACTACAAATGACCAACTGCATATACAAGATGGCTACATCCTTAGTAGCTGACCGACTAATGGCGCCAATGGATAAAGTATTAGGCAAACACCAGACAGGATTTTTGAAAGGAAGACAAATGTTCGATAATGTAAAAATGGTACAAGCGGCCATTGACAAAGCAAAAGCAACAAAACAAAAGCTATATATCGCATTCTTAGATCAGGAAAAGGCATATGATTCTGTTGACCACACATATTTATGGAAGGCACTTAGCCAAATAGACGTTCCAAATTCCACAATAGAAGTAATTAAAAGCTTTTATGAAGATGCTACCACTACAGTCATGATCAATCGAATGGAATCACGTGACATTAAACTTGAACGAGGTGTTAGACAAGGGGACCCACTATCGTGCCTCCTATTCAACATAGTTATTGAAGGATTAGCCAACCTACTGATGACAAGCCCTAAAATCCATGGCATCCAAGACAGTAAAGGAGGAGAGTACAGGGTAAGTCTGTTTGCAGACGATACCTGCATAATCTTCCAGTCGCTCAGCCAATGGCGAGAAATTTCCAAAATATACCGCACATATAGTAGAGGTACAACGGCAACACTAAATGCTATCAAAACCAAGATACTGGCAATCAACGATGCTGACGCTCCCACAAGTGTGGGTGACGTAGAAGTAGTTCAAGACTCGCCGATAGAATATCTAGGAGTACCGGTAGGGGGCGAGTTTGACCACAGCATCTGGCTGAAAAAGCGGATTGCCATACAGTCAAGCATTGCAAGGTGGGAAAATAACTATCTGTCAATCAGACAAAGAGTGACGGTGACGCAGATAAGCCTAGCATCACAGCTGTGGCACCTGTTTCGATGTCTCCCAGTCAGAATAACAGATATTGCCCACCTACAGAAAGTGCTATGGGCATATGTTTGGGGAACCGCAACAGGCCAACGAGCTGCAGGACCAATTGCTAATAGCCAGGCACAAAGACCAATTGAAGATGGAGGCTTAAATATGATTGACTTGCATACCATGCATAGGGCTCTAAACATGTACTGGATACAAAAACTAGAAACTGGAAAAGACCTGGAACCCCACCAGCGCCCAATGTGGTATCAACTAGTCATTGATCTGCTAACCACAAATCTCCACAATGGCGACCAAACACACATAAAAGGAAACATGATAACGGAACCATGGGCCCAATATTGGAATTCAAGATTGCCCAAAGCGCCCCATTCAACTAGTTCATTCTGGCCAGAGTGGATCAAGCAGTGGCAATACCGAAGCATAGATCCCACAACAAGGGAACAGCTAGAGGGAATGACCTTCTGGTTCCACCCTCAAATTAGCCAAGGAAAAGCTTCGCCAAGATGGGGCGCAGAATGCTGGCTCAATATGTTCGAAGGAAAACACCTAGCGAAACCTGTTGTAAGTATTGCAGA